GAGATCTCGTGCTGCGCTTCGCTCGTGTACCAGCCTCTCTGCCCTCGTGCGCACCTCGCCAGCGGCGCGGTCTCAGCAGCGGCAGACATGACCGTAGCCGTCAGCTCGACGGCGGTCTCTCCCGTTGGCCACCTGAGCGCCGTGGGCGGAGGACGGCTGGAGGCCCTGTTTTGGAAGGCGACCCGTAGGTGTTTGTCCTACCTCAACCGCTCGAGGTCGATACGGATCCGGCTGATTCCGCTGTTCCCCCGCACTCGTCGGTTGGGTGTGACACGGGGGGGGAGGCGGACAGTCGTAAGCACGAGGTTGTGGTCAGAGTCTTTGAAGTCGACACGTTTGACGGAGACATTAGGCACGAAACGCCGGGCCGTCTGACTCATGAGGATGAAGTCGAGGCGGTACTTGTCCTTCCCCTTGTTGGAGCTCTGGAATGTATGCTGCCCTCCACCTTTCGGTGTTCGGAAGTAGGTATTGGTCAGGGCGAGTTGGTTGTCTGATGCCAGTCCAAGGAGTCGTTCCCCATTGTTGTTCATGATCTCGCGTCCGTACGCGCCCATAATCTTGGCATCGCAGCACCCGTCTCGCCTCCTACCAGTACGTGCGTTGGCGTCCATTAGCACCACGAGATGGTCACGGCTGTGAACCTCCCGGATCGCTGCGTCGAGAGCAGTCCAGAAGGAGTCCTTGGCGTTAACATCACCGCCCGCGGTGGTGCGGACAGTTTCCGTGGGGGCGTACCCCACCACGAAAGTTACTCCGCAGGTGCGGCCAATTTGTAGACGCACCTTCATCAGCCTCGGGCTAATGCACTCCACCGTCCTACCTTCCTCGCCCACACTCTCCCACATGGCCTCCTTGATCGCTATGCCCACACCGTGGACGCCCCTCTAATCCTTGGTGCCAGCACGAGCGCCACTCCATATGATCACGTACCCGTCGTGTGCAATTGAACCTTGCCCCTCTCGTCGGGTCTCCTGAAGTCCTATCACATCACAGCCGGTCGCGGAACAAATCTGCATGACCGTCATCACGTTGTGACCGATGGGGTTCCTACCGCTGTAGGCGAGCGTGCGTCCGTTGATTGTGCCGAACGATAGGTCGCCCTCTCGTGATTTCTTCTTCGCATCCGCCCTGACGGCCGCTGCGGTCTCGTGTCTCCCTCGGTCCACCTCGCGTTGCGGGTGTCCTTTCTTCCGTATTTTCCGAGCGGCGAATTTCCTCGCATCAGTTCATCTCTGCAGAGCTCGGTTCTTGCCTGTGGTGTTTTGACGAGGAGGGTGCAGCACTCCCTCCTCGCGGTGCCCGCGGTTGTCTCCCTTCTCCCGTGAGCGGTGCTTACTGACGTGGTGTTTACGAATCTCTCTACTCCTCCAGCTTCGTGGGCCACGCTTTCCGCGACGGTGGTTGCCAGGTGCAGTTTGCCGCTTTGCATTACTGCCGCGGGAACAATGTCCATACACACCTCTCGCCACTACCACCGTCTGCGCATCCTCACCGCCACGCTGAGCCAGCGCGGCGGTGAGTTGCACCTTGGGACACCACCCGCCTACTATCTGTTGTGGCCTGGTTCGCCCGCGAGGGACTCACTAGGTCGATTTCGGCCCCGGCCGGGGAGCAGGCCGAGGGGGGGAAGGTGTGGATGTGTGGATACCCGACACGAGCTTCGTGATCGTGCACGTGGGTTCCCCACACCGTTTTAACCCAGGTGCAGAGGACGCACCGGTAGGTGAAACGAATCTTTGCATACCGCAGACAGCAGGTGAAGCAGCAGACCTCTCTGCTGGCGAAGAGGGCACGCTGAAAACGTGCTATGAGGGGGTCCGCGGACTAGAATATGAACCCCCCGTATATTTTACATTCTGCGGGGTATTGTGTTCCGGCGAAAAATTGTTTCCCTTAGAGCCTGTCTTATCGAAATCGGAAAAATCTGCTTCCAGGAAAAAAAATCAAANCACGCTGAAAACGTGCTATGAGGGGGTCCGCGGACTAGAATATGAACCCCCCGTATATTTTACATTCTGCGGGGTATTGTGTTCCGGCGAAAAATTGTTTCCCTTAGAGCCTGTCTTATCGAAATCGGAAAAATCTGCTTCCAGGAAAAAAAA